TTTGTAGTATTTTCTAAAACGTACTGTTAAGACAGCAGGTAAAAGTTGGTCTGTGTTCTGTCGGAGCTGCCTGCGACGCGCTGATGAGATTCAAAAAAATCGAAATCGCGATCCGCGTCTGGCAGTTTCTACAGGATACGGACCACTTCGAATTATTTTATAAAATAGAAAGTCGTTTATTTTCTAAGACTTTTCTTTGTATGACGTGATTGTCTTTTCCCTTCGATGTCTTTATAAGCGGATTCTACTGTAGTTAATTCGTAGCTCTGCAGTTTACCTTTTTGTATCACATGAAAAATAGTATACTACATATACAAGGGTTATAATATTAAGTTTTATTAACCACCATGCAATTTTTCTAAGGCGTATAGTACCTTTCTTTCTACCAGGTTCTGAACACCGTTGTTTACAAGCGTCTTCCGTTGGGAAATTGTTATTATTCGCTTTGCAACCACCGTATCTGAACTGTTCACACGTCTGACTTTCTTTGCTGAAATACCAACGTCTGTAGTGGCCTCTGCACGGTCCCTCTTCTTTCGGTTGTTCGCAAGCATCTGTAATTTGAGAGTGTGTAAAAATTGTTTCACTTTGATTTTTTTTCGTGTCGTGTACCGACTGAGTCGTCTCTGACGCAAAGTTCTGAACATTCTTCTCGTGTTTCGAAGCGATTGTTGTTTCCTAAGCAACCGCCATAAATAAATTGGGCGCATTGTTTCCTTTCGGTATCGTAATACCACATGGGATAATATCCTTCACAAGGACCTGCTACTTTAGGCAGCAAACAACGATCTGTGAAATTATGAAACAGAAAAGGAAGTGATCATTGTGAAGACTAGCTCAATCAATCAAAGATTTTCGTACATACCCGTTCCTTGAGGTTCAACACAAATTTCTTGGCATTCATCTCTTGTACGGAAACGGTTTTCGTTTCCTTCGCAGCCGCCATACCAAAATCGTGAACATCCACCATATTCCATATCGAAGAACCATTTGACCGTGTAATTTCTACACGAGCCTCTTTCCTTCCTAAGGGTGCAGCTGTCTACAAAATCAACGCAATCACATTTGCATTATCCCATAAGATAAAAAGCTCTCGCAAGTTTACCCTGTAGTTTTGTGAGAACTTCGTCGCATCCCTCGAAGTTTTCGCCAGTTGCTTCGGTAACACCATCCAAACAACAACCATACTTGGTGGAATCGCAGCCACATCCTTCGTAGTTGGGACCCTTTGCTGGCGTTTGGTCGTCTGAGCAACATCCGAATTCGGTGTTTTGACATCCACATCCTGAGGACGATTTTTTAAAGATATTCGATTTTAAATTGAATAAATGACATTTTTACCCTGCTTGTGGGGCCCTTTAGCTGCAGTTACTCCATCCGGACAGCAACCGAATTGGAAGGTATGACACTGACATCCCTGGTACTCTGCACCTGCTGCAGGAGTGTAACTATCAGGACAGCATCCGAATTCTGTGTACTGGCAACCGCAACCTTCGTTGTTGTATCCCCTTGCTGCGGTCGAATTATCAGGACAACAGCCGTACGGTGAATACTGACAGCCACATCCTTCGCAACGATAGAACGTTGTTTACAAATTGTGATGCATTTATTTTAAATAATATCGAACGAACCTTCTAAATTTGGTCCTTGAGCTGGTATAATATTGTCCGGACAGCACCCGTAAGATGTTATTAAACAACACCCTTCCTTATTATAACCATGAGCAGGAGTGATACTGTCCTCACAGCATCCGTAAGCACTTGATTCACATTCCATTTTGCAACCCTTGTAGTTTGGTCCTTTGGCTAAAAAATATGTCACACGTGAAATATGCTGAAGGATACACGATAGATTGAACTTATTTACCGGAAGTGCCATCGGGGCAACAGCCGAAGTAGGATTCGGTGCAGTTTTCGCTGAAAATATCACAACCCTCGTAGTCTTCTCCTTGGGCTGTTTCAACTCCATCAGGACAGCATCCGTAAGTGCTCTCGTTACAAGGTCCGGGTTCTTCAGTAGGAACCATTGTAGTTGTAACTCCTTCCTCTTCTTTTTCTTCCCGTTTACATCCTTTTCCGTGAGCGTCTTTTGCTTCGGTAACATTATCCGGGCAACAACCAAATCTAAAGTAGAATTCGAAAAACATTAAAAAAATCAGTTATTTTTTTTCAAAGAAAACTATTGCATACTTAGATTTGAGACATTTCGGCGGTGGAGGGGGACAACCTTCTTTATTCGTACCTTCGGCTGGGGTCTTTTTATCAGGGCAGCAGCCGAATAACGATTGCTCGCAGTGAGTTGGCGGGCATCCTTTAAAGTTTTTACCTTTTGCAACGGATACACCGTCTTCGCAACAACCGTAGGTTGTTTCGTTACATGTTTTAACATCTGGACATCCTGGAAATAAACCATTGGACAAATATTAGTATCCAGGACTATGTGCGCGAATGTCAGACAACAGTACCTTTATTAAATGGTCCTTTGGCTGGTGTAATTTGGTCAATACAGCAACCGTGTTTGCTAGTTTTACAGTCGGGCTTCTTTTTCCTTCTACATTTTCGCATTTTACGAAGAAATATGTCTGTGACAGGTGTTGTTTCCCACAGGTCACCTATGGCATTTTGTATTCAAAGTGTGTTCTCTGAGTATCTTTCAAATATGTTTTACGTACCTTCGGTGGATGATGACCACACGTCGAATTCTGAAGTAGTCTCGCTTTCTGAGCTACCTTCCGAGATTTCGGTTGAGACAGACGATCCTTCACTTGTATCTGTACTACTGTATGCTTCTGTCGTACCGCCACTTTCAGACGAGGCTTCGGAACTTCCTGAGACCTCTTCCGTTGTACTTCCCGATACCTCTTCCGATGTAGCTGAAGAGTCTGTTGTTAAACCAGAGACTTCGGAGGTGGCTTCTGAAGACGACTCCATTGTGCTGCTTTCCATTTCTGTGGTGCTCCCTGAGAAGGAACTAGTAGTGCTTCCTTCGCTTTCTCCCGTGCTGCTACTGCCTTCACTTATTTCCGTGGTGCTTCCCGATGGAGATGACGATTCTTCGATGGTACTGCCACTTGTTGTTGAGGATTCTGATGTTTCTTCTGTATCTGTGCTCTCGCTTCCTGTTTCTGTTGTAGAAGAATCCGTTGTGCTGTCGGAAGTAAATTCTGTGGACAAGTCTGTAGTGAAGTCGCTGGTGCTTTCAACATCTGTGGGTGTATAGGTGATGATTGTAGTCAGGAAAGACTCCGTAGAATCTGTTTCTGTTGTTGGTGTGTCTGTTGTTTGAGTGTCGGTTGTTTCAGTGTCAGTTGTTTGACTGTCGGTTGTTTCTGTGTCGGTGGTTCCGGTGTCTGTGGTTTCAGTGTCCGTTGTTATCGTGCTTATGTCTGTTGTGCTCTCATCTGTCATTTCCGTGGTAAAGAATGAGCTTTCCGATATCGCACTTAATGTGGTTGATACAACTGAACTGAGCATTTCTGTTAAACTGCTCATCGATAAACTGCTCTCGGTTTCTCCTGACGGTGATGACTCCTCTTCGGTAACGGCAGATGAGCTGCCGAGATCTTCTGAGCTGCTGGTGGTGCCTTCGCTGGTAGGCGTAAGACCATCGCTGCTCGTTGTACCTGATGGAGTTTCGGAAGATTCGCCCGAACCTTCGCTAGAGGACGAGAGGGAATCTGTCGAGAGCATTTCTGATGATTTTGAAGAATCTGTTATTTCCGTTTCTCCTGATCCTGTCTCGGGACTTGACAGATCAGACGATTGGGCGGTGTATGCTGATGAATCGTCGCTTACCATGAAGTCTTCTGATACCAAGGTCGATTCTGATTCTATAGTCGAACCTCCAGATTCCTATATTGCATGGAACATAAATACTGTTGACATTTTATGTATTTTATTTTACAAAAATATTACGTAAAACTCCGGCGCAAGTGTTGTTTCTTCATCGATGGCTTCATCTTCCGGTTCATAGTCAACCCATTCGCCATCTTCGCATTCTGTATCAAAATCTTCTTCGTATTCTCCCGCTTCTTCTTCTTCTTCCTTATCATCTTTTTCCTTGTCTTTCTTTTCTTCTGTTGGCTTTTCAGCTTCTTTTTCTGGTTTGGTGACGTCGCTCGGCGAAGGTTTAGATTCAGCTTTGGTTTCTTCGGTTTCTTCCATCGACTTAGTAACGCTAGCCGACAATATTTCATCTGTAAAGTATAATTAGTATTAGAAGGCTTTGGGGGTGGCGAACAGGGCAATCGCCCGGGGCCTCGCTTTTGCAGGACCTCGCGCAACAATCTAATTAGAAAATATTAGGTAGTAATAATACATACTACTAATGTTTATTTGAATTTCTTAATAGTCTTAAAAGAAGGCGCAAATTTGCTATCTTTGTCTTTATCAATTTTTTTTAATTTTCGATAAACAATTTGTAAACAACTGTAAACTTATTTATGAATCACTTTGCATTTTTCAAGTATCATCATTAAATTTAATTCCACAAAGACGAGGGCCTTGCAAAAATTTACCCGCCCGGAACCTTCCAATGACTAAAGCCGCCCCTGGGTACGTGTGGCATATTTTTACCTGTAGTGCAAGGCTCAGTGTTGCAATCTTCAGTCGAAAATTCAATCTTTGCTGGATCACATGCGGTAGCTGCAACTGTTACGTTATCCTTCATGCACACGACTTTACGTGTTTTTGTACCACCTCCACATTCCTTAGAGCACTAATAATAAAGGAAGTAAAATGTTTAGGCAGTGGTGCCGTTTTCTATGACATTATAAAGGCTTACGTCACTCCAGGGTCCTGTGAACCATTCTCCTTCGCATTCGTCCTTTTCGGCAGTGCAATTTTTCATTGAGTCGTATTTCTTTGAGGGATCGCATTTGCCCTCGTCCACTTTTTTGACGCCCTCGTCTGTGACTTCTCCGCAAAATACTTTTCTAGTTTGGACACCGTCTCCGCATTTCGCGGAACACTAAAACAATAAAAGGAAAATCGAAAATAAAAGTTGTTTCAATTGGGATCCGTCAAATGGGAGGAGCCTAAAAACATGGCGCCGATTAGGGAAAATTTATCGTAGTTCGTGTAGTGTACCGTGCAATTTCCAAGTTTTTAAATTACGATAAAATGATAAGTATTGACACAATATGTGATTGGGCTGACACAAAGCCTCGGAAAGGAAATTTCGTTGAAGGTGAGCGTGTTTTTAATGCCAATCACATTATAAAATTCGGAAATAACAAATCCGGAAGCTAGCCTTCAAATTCCGTCAAGTTTACTGCCTACTTTTTACAAACTTCGGATTTAAAAAGTGATTCACGTTATATAATTGGTGAGGTGATTCTGGGTGATTTAAGCAATATCATATCAATGACTTGCACGTGCAAAGCCGATTTAAGAGAACGTTGCAAACACATTATTGCAACTTTGTTGTATTGCAGCAGGTAGGTTCTTAACCTCAAAATACTTATATCGTATCATTAGAATTGTGTTAAATCAATTACACAGGAATAAATAATTTCTCACTTTATAATTTTAGTATGATTCTAGTTTTAAATATTAAGGTTATGGCTGATGGTAAATACTTGCTGAAATATAATCATGTGCATTAAAATGACGTGAACAAATTTTTATTCCGGAATTCACTTCTTTGATACCTACTGCTTTCATCCAAGCTTCTATTAGTTTACTTTTTTCTCTAATTTTCCGAATATATTTTTTACATATATAAAACGGTTAGTTTTTATTGGAAAGTAGTTAATGTAGGTGAAGAGTGAAGATCTATGTCTGAAGTGCTATTGCAGCTTTTCACTGAACATATTAACTTTTTATTTGATTTAACTTTAGAAGAAAACTTTGTCGACTCCATCATCAAAAAAATTTTTACTTTTTTAACGTGTTTTGTTATTTTAATAAACAATTTTACAATTAGCGTGCACAGTTCCTATGTAAATTTTTCCCTCATTCGAGTTATAAATTTTGCCACCAGATGGTGTATGCCCATTTGACGGATCCCAATAGAAACGACGTCTTACCTCACTCCATTGAGACGCGTACCACAGTTGGTTACATTCACTGTCGGAGGCGTTACATTGCCTTACGTCTTCCGGTCTTGGTATATTCGAGCACAAGTCGTCGGGATAAACCTCGCCTTTGGCCGTAGCACACTGGACTCGTCTTGTTTCGTTTGCTAGACCGCATTTGTTTTCACACTAATTTTTGGGAACACAAGAACAAGAAGTAGATCGTTAAAATTTATATTGCGATCGTAATTCTTACCCCACTCCAGCTCGACGTAACCCAGTCTAAGCCTTCGCAAGGTCTAACGTTACATGTTTTTTCGCTCTCGGGTTTATCCTCCTGTGCACAATTTTCGTCATCTAGTACCTCGATTTTATGGTCAACTTTTCGATAACATTTGACTTGTCTAGTTTGTTTCCCTTCTCCGCAAAGGTGATCACACTAAAAGGAACAAGAAATGGAAAAATTCAGCATATCTATCTCTACAAAATAGCCAGAGTCAAAACAATAATTTTTGACTATGTTGTTGCCATTTTAAAATTCTGATTGGGGAAAAGGATAAGTAAGTAGGTACATACCGGTTTCCATGGTCCAATAAACCAGTCGGCACAAATCATCCCCTGATTGCAGGGTTGTTCGGTGGGTGGCTTCTTGACATTCGCACATTGCTGATCGTCGACGATGCTGGCGACACCGTTTGCGATCACTTGTTCACAAACCACCTGCCTGGTTTGGGTTCCATTGTCGCCGCACGGGGCTGAACATTTGCCCCAAGGCTTGGCGATCCATTGAGGCTCGCAAGGTTGCTCGTTACACCTTCGGGCCGCTTCAGGTTCGTTGCTGGAATCGCATAAACTGCGGTCGGCCGGTTCCAATGTTCTCCGGCCAGCACAGGTCACATTTCTGTATTGGACGCCTAAGGATAGTGAGAATGTGAAGCACGATGGAAAGATGTAGAATCGACCAACAAAATTGTATCATAGTAATTTTCTTACCGATAAAATGCAAGTGTGATTTCATAGAAGCAGCATTAGAAGCAAAGAATTGATATTTATTTAGGTATTCGGTAATTTTAGATTGTATCTTACCTCCACCGCAAGTAACACTACAAGGGGCAAATTCATCAAAGGTCCAAGCATACGTTTCCGTCTCAGAACCGTGCTGAACACCTTTTGGTACACTGTATTCGTAGTTTACGCCAACATTTACGTCTTGGTAAAGGAGCTACAACAACACAACCAGGAATATTAATTTGAAATCATTTTTTCGATTTTTATTTACCGACTACAAACTACCTCAAATTTATGAAAGAAAAATTGTTGTTGTTGTCACGCGCTCGCCTCATTAATTTGAGGTAGTTTATAGTGGGTAAATAAAAATCGAAAAAATGATTTCAAATTAATATTGCATATTAATCCACCATTAAGTAACTAACAATGTCATAGTATTTCTAAGATTGGCTATTGTGTGATTGAGAATAACTACACATGAAGTTAATCGTGCACAAAATTATTCATTTTTAGTCTAATCATCACAATTTCGGCTTTGTTTTATTTTCCATTTTTACCTTTTTAGTTTAATTTACATTGGCATTTTTGCTGCGAAGAATTCTGACTTGCTAAATTTAATCATCTAAAATGTCTTGTACGTGTGCGTATAAAATTGTAATACATTATGCGTACAAATAAGACAATAAATAATTAAACAATCGTGTAATGTAACTCATCCGTCGATTGTTTAAAATTTAAAATGACCTCAAAAAACTTTTTAAAATAAAGAAAAAAAAAACATTTGAACGAAACGAAAAATAACTAAGGAAATTGTTTCACAACGAAAAATAAATTTGTCTAGCGTTTAGGAAATCAAGATGCACATCAAAAAGGCGAAACCAAAATTTTGAGTACACTTAGAAGGTGCTTTATATTTATATTTTTAACTTATAAATTGTTAAGAAATTCTTGACAGCTGTCCTCATCTCAATTTATATAAACACGTGAATTTACGTTCAGGCAAACGAACATGCAGCGTTCCTCTTTATTAGCCATTACTGACGCTAAGGGATCTTTTTTGTATTAGCTAATAATACTTACAGAATATAGAAAAGACAATACAGTTAGACCATCGGGATGTTCAGTGGCTTCCTTAAATGATCCATAAGAAGCTTTAAAAAATACCACGTGTAACTCCATTGGAAAGCTAAAGCAGAACATAAAAAAAAACTTTTTTGGAAATATGAAGATTGGAAAAACTTTGGCGGTTGTTGTAGAACAAACAGAAGACAACTACAGTGTCGTGTTTTGGCGTTGGGGTTTTGNAAGATGAGACGGACGAAATGAAGACAGAAGAGAGTGAAAGATTATCTGTGGAATATTACTGCCTCAGCATTTGCCTAAGTGATCCAAGGAAACCACAGAAAAACTTGGACCAAGGCAGACGGACAGACCCGGAATCGAACCGGCGTCCTCCCGAATGCTAAGCAATGGTCTAGACCTCTAGGCCATGCCGCTCGGTCCTAATTACCACAAAAAAAATAAAAAAAAAAATAATTTACCTAAGTAGTTGTTTGATTTCGTTCTTTCCCACACTCTGATGTTGGTCGCACTGGAGGGTATGAGGAGGATGTCGTTGTAACCTGTGCGAAACCGCGGTTTTGAAAGATAAACACCGTGAATTCCACACGCATATTACATACCTACCTACTTGTAAGTCCTGCATGTCCAGCAGACCAGACACGGTGTTGCACGAACTACCGTCTCCCCCGCAAACTCTGCAGTTATCCTCACGCTGATTCGAACCCAGCATCATATCACATCCTACGGGCTGGAAAAAATCAACGATTTGTTCGTTTGAGTATCGTTTCCAAAAACAACTTATATCTTGGAGACTCACGTAACAGTTTCCTTCAATGCAAACATCTAACGAATCGTCGCTACACCTTGTTCCGTCCGCGACCTGCAGCCTTTGTCTGTAGTAAAATCGCTCCCCTTTGGGCATGCAGTTCAGTTCGCAAGGATTGGGCGCCTTGGTGTAAGGGATCCACCTGAAGCAAGTCTGTTTTAATAATTTGGCTTTCGGTCTTAAGCGTTCTACTGATATACTTTGGACAATACAAAGCCCACTTACCGATAGTACGTACCCTCGAAAGGTACATTGTCAAATTCAGAGCATTGCTGGGCCCTGTAATCACCCAAATCTGGGCAATCCTAAAAAAGAGGTACAAAAAAAAGTTGAATATCAAAATGTATCTAACCACCTAATGTATTGGAGGGGTGCAAAAGAGTCAAATTAATTGAGTTGTTATGTCAGGAGGCAACATTAGTATGCGAAGGTAAAGATCTAAACATCGTATTGGAAAGAAAGAAAATGCAAAATGTAAATGATTTGAAACCTAGGAGTAATTGTTATTATTAACGATAAAGGCAAATGGGACAGTGAGATACACTGCATCATCAAAATTTTACCATTAAATCAAAAACTTGTTCAACAAAATTGAGATATCTAAGGAAATAGAGAAAAATCTATAAAAGTGCAGTTAAACGAACACTATTGCATTATGGAAGCGAGTCTTGGAGATTAAGTAGGGAATTTCAAGCACCAGAGGTGAAATTCCCAGGATGAATTAAATGAGGAACTAGAAGACACAGAATAAGAAATCAATTGATTATTTTGAATGAAACAGAACATGAGCAACTAGGATAATTTGAGTATCATGAGACAAAAGAGCAGAGATAGACCAGAGGAGACTTGGCATGATAAAATAGAACAAGCGTTGAAGAAGGAAGCATCTGATCTGGAAGGTATTTGTTTTTAGAACGTACTTGAGTATTACACGAAAAGTGTCTTTTAGAGGGGCCCTGACACGTGTATCCTTCTTGGCATTGCCTATGCTGGGTTGATACTCCGCCGCCGCAGGTTCTCGAACATGGACTAGGTTCTGACCATTCCGACCAAGGTCCAGCATCTGGCCCTTCTCCTCCACTCGTCACATAGCTTCCGGGTAGGTACAGATGCGCTCCTTGTTGCCTTTTGAACCTATCTCTATGATGCCTTATGTGCTAGAACATAGAGTAGGTACTTAATTATACCGTAAAGTGTTTCCCGCAGGAAGGAAACGGATTGAAATAAAAAAAAAAAGTATGAACGGGTTGAGCTGGTGATTTTAATTTAACAATAGGAGGTAAGAGTGAGTCATTTGCAAGCAGCTGTCTGGCAGTATAAATTTTATTGGTTTCTAACGATTCCACAGTTAAATGGCAGAGAACGAACTGTTGTGGCAATATTCTGCATAGTTTAATTGTCGGGAGGGTCATTCACTCACATCTTAAAATAGTACGGGGCATAAGTAAAAAGAAAAAATTTCATAAATTAATTGCGAGATATGTGCTACTTTTTTTATGGCAATCGGCGTTGCCTTTGACGCGAAGCCAATTATTGCTTATTTGACAATTTAATTTTAAAGTGCCGATATTCTCATCAAGCTGCTCGAGTTTTTTTTTTCTGTTACTTAACTAATTGGACATTGTAATCGCTCATTATTTTACTTTTATTATTTTATGAATCGAGAAGAT